CTGCTGGAAAGTTACAGTCATTAATCAAAATGCAATCTTAAACTCCTCAGAGTAATGCAACAAAATAGTAGAAAGGCATGAAAATAAGGTATGACATTTATTTTTACAAAAGCAATAAACACAAGATAGGTAATATGATGTAAACTTCACCTGTGTCCTACTTTTGAGATTGTTGCTGTCTGAAGCCTTAGTGTCATGTATCTTGTTCCTCTTCTTTGTAATACACTTATTTAAAAAATACACGCACACAAAAAAAATTCTAAATGGGCATATTTTCAGTTTCATTATTAGCATTTTTCACTGATTCCCAAGCCATATGATTTACATATATTATTTGCAATTTTATTACCCACATACATTCATACAGTTTACTATCACTGAATCAGATTTTAATAATTAAGAAACTGGACCTTAAAAGCACTGTGACTGGAACACTTTAAATTAACTTTTATTACAATTAAAATTTAAATAATAATGTAAACTGTTTACATATAAAATTTGCTGCTACATTTTCTCTCAAAATGTTAAGACCATATTAGAAAATTCTTTTTAGAATTACTGCGAGGGATAGTGGCCCCCATTAGGAGCAGTGTGATAACATTTTCCATGTTGTCCCTTTTGACAGTCAACTTGGAATCATATGTGAATCTGAATCATAGAAACCATGTTAATGTACATAAACGTATTCCTAATACATTATTCTTGTTCATAGTTTTTATTTTTTATAATTTTTTAAATGAAATTTGTTGATCCAATTACTCTACTTTGTCTCTGATCTCCATTTTATTTTAACACCCCGAGGTTACAAACACATGTTTTCTGTTGTGAGTTACCATAAATGATGTGGGAAGTAAGTAGAGCTTAATTAAAATAAGTAAGATTATATACTTGCCATCATCAGCCTGCAAGAAATAGTTAAGTATTGATGACTCAGCTGTGATGAGACTAGAGAGAACTGATATTTCAGTCTCATCATGTTTACAAATGTTATCTCTTAAAAAAATAAAATCCATAATGAAGACAT